AGTTTTTACATATTTGCCTGAAAATTAAAAACTTGTTAAAATCGAGCAGAGTTTTCAACTGCATCAAATTCTGAAGTATCTAGGCCCTGCTACAATACAGGACAATCACTTCTGTCTAACTTTGAATGAAAAATTGTTAGATTTAGAGGCCAAAAGTGGTAAACTTACTTGGACTGTTGTAAAGAGTTTCAGAAGTTTTCCACCGTCCGTGCCCGCCAATGGACCGATCCAGTAAGCTCCGCCCAGTGCGCACGTGGGCAAATTAACACGTGCTCCTCTCCAATGCCACGCTGCATTTTCCTTCCGCGCGCATCATACGCGCGCGCGCGTGCACGCATGTCGGACTTTTGTGCACGCACGTCGGACATAAATCACGGCTGTGATTGGTCAGAACACCATGGGGCGATGCTTACTGGATCGGTCCATTTACGAATGCTGAAAAAAAGCGCATAGTCCCTGGTCCCTACTAAACTGTATGCTTCAAAGGCATATGGGCGGCGCGAACCACTTATGATTTTTTTTTTCAGCACAGTTATTTTTTTCAGCGCCCTAAGAGTCACTGAACAAATTAGTAACCTTCCGCGAAGTGATTCGTATGAACAACGATATGATTATGTACATTGTATTTGGGCGCAATCTTCAATGTCAGTGTCCTATCTTAACTGCAAAAGCGACTTGCATAAAACCTGGATTTGGTTTTGTATCAAATAGACTTGTTTGGGGGCGGTGCCGTATCGACGGGGGGGGGGTGATTTTAATGAACTTTTACCCCAAAAATATCCAATTTCGGGGCGGGGGTGTCAAAGTTGGTTTATCTATTTACACATAAAGGCAAGGTTAATCCCTATTTTTTTTTCCGTTGGGAAATATCAAACTTAATTTCCCAATTTTCATAAAAAGCAAGGTTTGCCCAAAGTAGACAACAATTTCTAATTTCTGGGGGGGGGGGATCCAATTTTGGCCAATTTTATAAAATATCACAAGTCTGTAAATTATTCTCTTCATTTACTTACTTTGGAATGCGTTGAATATATTTCTTTAGCTACACACATAAACGCCTGAACTATTTACCAGACATGAAATTTGTTTCAGAATAAACATAAAAGGTAATCCGAATTTTGTTAATTCATCACAATAGGGGCCGAACTCATCACGGTCAAAATGCACTCACAACTCATGGCATCGTAGCCTTGAACTTGGCATGGTTAATGGTTTGGGCTAATCCCATTACAATGGTTTATATCACTGTGGAACGAGGCAAGTATTTTAAATTATTAAATGAGCTCCGGAGCCACATGAAGACGGATCCTCATGACATTTAAAGCGCAGCCGCAGCCGGATCCGAAGCCGGGCGTGGTTTGGAAAAGGGCGATCATCTTTAGTCTGGTCCATGTCAATTCTGTTATCTGATGACCGTATTAGCAGATTTTCTGCTACATCTGACAGATTCTTTGGAAAGAAAACCCACGGAATTAATCTAGCATGCAGCAAATCTAGCAGATTTCTAGCAGAAATCTGTACAATTTTGTGATCCTAAAAGAAAAAATCGCAGATTTGTTTTGAACAACAATTAAAGACAAGCAAACCCTTGAAATCCGCGATGATCAAGTTGAAACTCAAAGTGCCTCGATAAACGCCTATAACATATAGCGTGGTATGGAACATCACGACCAGGCTTTCCAGACATCCACCTTTTTTGGTGGAAATGTTATAAAAAATAAGAAAAGAATTGTATTAGGAAATTTGTAAACATTTTGCATCACGGTGATTTAAGTATAATGTAACTGTTTCGTGTAATTCTAACTTAGGTGTTTTAGTAGTCTGGGTAACTTGGACCCAACTTATCGCCTTTTAAACATTTCGACCGTGGTCTGATGGCGATAGTTAAATATGCGATAAGTTCCAGCGGCGTTTCGTTCAATCTAGCAGAATTTGGAAATGCATCTAGCAGAATGTTGCGATTTTCATCTGGTCACCCACTGCATTACGCCAATTTGCCGTAATCATGACATCGTGACACGACTTCTTTGTAATCTTGATTACTTTGACGGCAATGGCATGTGATTGTGATGCCGATGTACATGTTCGTATACCTCGTTCCTTGAAAATGTCGGCAAAAGCCTGCAAAAAGTGAAATTGACACTGATCGGCCTGTCCACGCACCATGCTCACATCACAACACGCCGAAGAATGAAGATAATGGGTGGGGCAATTTCTCGGCGATTGGTGAAAAATTGAGGTGAGGGGTCATTCACGGTGTCAAATCAACCAAAAATCATTAAAGTTTAAACCCCACCCCTTCAGAAGGGTTCATATATAGTTATGGGGTAATTTAGGCTGAAAAATGCTGAAATTTAAGTTTTAGAGCCGTCGGAAAAACTTTTTTGCGCTACTGCCGGCCCGCAATTGTCCGGAAATTCTGGTCAAAATGGGCGTGGCTGCCAATTTTCAAATGACCATCTCCATAACCTGTGGACCAAATTTGCTAATCTGTTTGGGTTTTTTTGTTGTTGAAAGGTAACATCATAAGAATACGAAATTTGCCATTATTTTTTCATGTCGGGGGTTATTTCAAGTATTCATAATGACCTTTTAACCTTTACTATGACCTTGAATTTGACCTTGTGGATCACCCCACCTTGAGACGAACTTGGATAACAATTAAACCCCACGATGTTTTCTACAAGATATCCAGAAATTGGGGTTGTAATATAATTTTTGTTTGGTTTCCAGCTTATCTCAATGTTGGCATATACCTGTTGCAAAATGTGATATCCCTATGCAGTGTTCTAGTGGATTTTATAGTAGGGATTTTTTTTTGTCCATGCAGTGAACTAGTGGATTTAAATCATGTTTTTTTCCCCCTAAAATGTGTTCATGTATAGGGATATCACATTTTGCAACACTTGGGCCAACTTCAACATGCACTAGAAACCTAACAAAAAATATTATACTCCAAATGTTGGATATTTTGTCGAAAACATGTTTAGGTATAATTTTCATCAAAGTTCGTCTCAAGGTCACGTGATCCACAATGTCAAATTCAAATTCAAAGTAAAGGTCAAAAGGTCATCATACTTCAAATTACTCTGGCATGAAAAATAATGGTAAATTTGGATTCCTTATGATGTTATCTTTCCAAACCAACCAAGATTAACAAATTTGGCCAACATGTGATGGAGATTGTGGTCTTTTAAAAATTGGTGGCCCTGCCCATTTTCACCAAAATTGCCAAACAATGGGGCCGGGGCGGTACTACGAAAACTGTTTTTTCCGATGGTGCTAAAACTTAAAATTTCAGCATTTTCAGCCTAAATTATCCCACCAACTAAATGTGAGCAAATTTGAAGTGGGTGGGGTTTAACCCATTGGGTGATTTGGAATGACCCAGAAGCGAAGTTGACAAAACCTGACTCTATTAAACTGTCACTAATTGGGAAAGAATTTTGCATCCTATTGCCACTTTTTTCATCATTTAGGCCTATTATCTCAAAGAAGGGCAGTCATCACAAAAATATTGTACTGACAAAATATATTGTTATTCTGGGATTGAGAAACATTGCCAAGTGGTGTCTGGATATTACCTTCTTTCCAAAGAATCAGGTTAACAGTGTAGGCCAAGGAGAAAGAAAACTAGTTGCTCGTCCAGGTTTTGACAAAAATGTGGAGGACGCGGCAGCCTTTTCTTCAAAGTGGTTAATTAAAAAAAAAAGCCAGCAGCCAGTAAAAACGAAGGGGGTTGGGACAAGAAACTGGTTCCAATCGGTCAAGTGGCCAAGTTGGAAATAAAAGCAACCACCTGCAACAGGATTTGGTAGGCAAATGTTGTTTAAACATGCTGGAGCATTTTGTTGCAAAATCTGAATAATGAGGACTGTGAAACATCCCTTTGGGTCAAGTGAACTTGTCTTTTTCAATTTGATCTTTTAATGCCTTTTTGACAACTGAGGGTGCTGTCACTGCTTTAATTATTCTTCAGTTTACAGTTTTCTGTTCAAATAATGAACCAAAAAATTTGCCCATCCTCTACCCAGCCCCATCCTAGCCCCACTCATCAGCCTCACAAAGGGCTCCTCACCTGCCCCAACCCAGCCCAAGCACAACCCCACCCAGTCCCTACCCAGCCCCCACCCAGTCCCCACCTAGCCCAAACCTGAAGCCCCTCCCAACCCCCATCCACCCATAACCTTACCCTCGCCCGGCCCAAACCTTAAGTCCCTACCAGCCCTTTCCAGCCCTAACCGGGTCCCCACCTAGCCCCCACCCAGTCCCCACCCAGCCCAAACCTTAAGTCCCTCCCAGCCCCCATCCAGCCCTAACGCGGCTCCTATGCGGGAGACATTGTAAAAGAATTTTAAATCTAATCTGATTTCTCATTATTTTGTTCAATTTTCAGGACACAGATACGGACATTTCAAACATCTTCCTGGCCAACTTGTCTGAACATCCAGACCCACACTTTGATGCACACAAGTTGGCCAGGAGGATATTTCGCATTTATAATGCGCACGTTTTTGGAAATAAGGTAAGCACTCAGAATTATCTTTGTCAAGCAAAATGTTTGATGTTGCATTCCCCATGCAATTAATTTTCACGTTACATCCTGAAAGTGCATCGTGTTTTTTTTTCTAATCGCTATTTTCTGGCCATTATTAAATGAAAAATCAAATAAAAAATAGGCACGTTCTGTACTCGGTAACGTATATCTGTGCCGGCGATGAAATAAAAAAAATTCCCGGCCCTGGAAATTCGAAAAAGGGGGGAGGGGGGCGCCTGGACACCGCATTACACTCAGGATTAACAAGTATATCAGCATGTCTATTCGCGCTTACATCAAAACAGCGCATTTTAAAAGGTTGTTTTTCAGTGCTATTGAATACATTTGGGTTGTTGGGATGTTCAGAAAATACCTCAAAATCTCCTTTTTTTTCCTCATCATGAAAAAGTGTGTGTGTGTGTGTGGGGGGGGGGGGGGGTGATTGAATAGCCCATCCCCCTGGTCTAAAAGTGTTGGGGATATATAACCCCCTCCCCCAATCCCCTCCCCGGTCTAGGCATTTACGTCCCTAGCTGTCTGTATACTGCTCCACTTTTGGCGGGGATAAAATACAGAAAATTAGTACTCGGTCTGCTCGCAAAGCAGGTATACTTGTAACAAATCAAAAACCCTTTTCAAAGGTTAATTTCTGATGTGATTGTTTTCCTTAATACATTTGTAATTTTTTTCTCTATCCAACTCGGGTACCAAAACTGCCCAAGTGGAATTTGCTGACATCGGAGCACGTAGGGGTGAACAACCAGAGATTCCAACAATGGGAAGCAGAATATTGTTTTCAAAGGAAATTGTGTAATACACCAGGTAGTTATTAACTGTACGGGCTACTTAAGGAATAGTTTGACTAGCCCGCCGCTGTTTTGACTAGCATTTGGCTAGTGGCCTACCGCTTAAGTCGAACCCTGACTTTTACATGCTTTCATGGGGCTGGACCCCATCTTTCAATGTGCCCTTTAAGTGGACATTATTAATGATCAATTATTATTGCACAAGAAGCACCCTTTATGGTGGTCCAATTAAGACCGGGGCACCTGTTAAAAAAAATGTGCTCTTTAAAATGGTATAGCAAATTTTCAGTGGGGGAGGGGGAATGGCAACTGGATGGGGCAATGACTTATCAAGAGGGGGGCAGGGGGTTATGGGAAATGTGTGCATTCAGACTAGTGATGTGCATCAGGTCGGGTTGACGAGGCCAAACTGACTCGAGACATTTATGTTATAACTGAATCCGAACCGAAACCAAACTGGACAACCTAAAGCCGACCTGACCCAATCCGACAACAATTCAAAGAAAACAACCCAAACCAACCCAAAACCGAATCGACCTGAAAAAATCCAAAATATCTGGCTTCGGCAAAAGTGTCCATTTCCTGTGCCTGAACTGACATGTAATCACTTGTTGTATTTCTCTCTCCAACAGCTAGAATACGAGATGTACTGATTCACGAAATATGTCATGCAGCAGTCTGGATCATCACTGAGGCCAAGGATCAGGGACAGCATGGCAACATATGGAAGGGCTGGTAAGCTTTGAACGAAATGATGTTAACTATCGGAAAGAATATTTAAATGTAGGATATAAACATCCACATCAGGCCAGTGTTTATCTCCGGTTTCTGTAGCATGAAACGCCTGAGAATATTTCTACTCCCCCTGGATGGGATGCTAGTCCATTGCAGGTTACTCCCCAGCTAATGCCCAGTACCCATTTATACTCCTGGGAGAGAGGGGCAAGTGGGGGTGAAGTGCCTTGCCCAAGGACACAATATATGACCAGCGGCTGGATTTGAACCCCGGACCCTCTGATCATGAGTCACAAACCCTAACCACTAGGCCACACACTCCCCTAAACATCCACAAGTATCCTTTATAAACTGGGCGCTTTGTTTTATTCTTGTGCGTGCGAGAACGACTTTAAGGGTCCACTTTTGCGACCCCTAAAATTTGGGCTGTTCATGCTGTTCAAACAAAACATATAATACGCCCGATTTTTGGATATTTTGTAAAAAACATGTGGGATATAATTTCATCCAAGTTGTCTTAAGGTCAAGTGATCCACAAGGTCAAATTCAAGGACAAAGTAAAGGTCAAGCGGTCTTTTTCTCCGGACACTTGGCCTCCGAAAATCTAAAGGGGGGGGGGGGGCTTGTACCATACAGAATAGAATATTAGTGAAGATATACCCCAACTACCCAGCTGGCTCTGTCCGTATTTTATGCAAGGGCGGACATTATTACCAGTAAAAATGTTTTGGGTGTCAGATGAAGGGGAGGGGGGTTTAGCTCTTTTTTATTATTAATTTCTATGGAAAAAAGGTTTTTTTCCCCTTCCGTAAATGCTGGATGTGTCACTGATAAGCCACTTTCAATACTGCCCTCATGCTGCAAGCCAAAAAATGTTTCTTTTGATATTGTTTATTGAAATCAATGGAACTTAATTTTAGTCATTTATTTATTTCTTCTATTTTCAGCACTCGGTCATTATACAGCTGCCAGAACAACTTTCCTGATGCCAATGGAGAAATGCCTGGTTTCTCCAACGACTGATTGCCTTGCAGTGACACTGAGAATATCTCGCTGCCTTCACTTGAACCCTGGCATGGGACAAGTGATGCTCTCTTTTGTTGTCATTAATTGCAGAGGTTCGAGGTTTGAATCCAAACAAACTCTTCAATACTTTCAATCTGTAATTTGGGAAATAAGTCATTTGGTTCACCCATTACTTTAATTTGTTAACAAAGTTGTCAGGGGCATATCAAGGTCATTTTTTTATGGGGGTTACAAATTTATTGAAAAGGGCACTTGCATTTCCCAGCTGAAATTTTTTTTCTCCAGACACTTGCAAATAGTGGGGGAGGTGGGGGCTGGTTCTTGTTGTGGACACTTGACAAATTGAATTTATTAAATCTGCTGTTTTTCACCCATTTGTGTATTAAATCAACAAAAAAAAAAAAAGTGCGTGTTAGTTCGTGAAACCGAAAAAGCTGTGAAACTGTAAATTTTGGTTTCACAAAGTAACACACTTCAATGTATATAACACACAGGAAAGTGTAACGTCAGGTTAGCGCGCTCATACAAGGAGAGTGTTACTTCATGAAAACATTTTTGCTCAAATTTAAGCAGAGTGCGCACCATGCATTGCAATGGTAAATGGAACTTGAGTGTTACTTCGTGAAAACGAAAATTGTCACTTTTGTGCAAAAGTTGCCATGGATAATTAGCATAATTATTAAAGTAAAGCTCTTGAAGCTTTGAAACTTCGTGCAACGGTAGCCTTGATGATCATGTTTAAAAATGTAAAAAACTGAAAATCAGAAAAAATATGATTTAACAAGTAGAGTGTTACTTCGTGGTGTGGGTGACGATATGTTGTATTTTTATTGTGTTGAATGGTGAGACCCCAGATTGGAACACAATTGAGTTTGGTGTCTGGGTCCTAGTTAATGCGACACTATTTGGAAATGTGCTCGAAAAGTTGCTTGAGAAATAACATTTTAGAAGGAAGTTTTGTTAGGGGGGGGGGGGGGTTCATCAGAAAATCATTGCTGACATGTAGGGGGG